AGCTTAGCGTAATGGTAATGATAGTAAGGAAAGCTACATGATCGATGTCTGAGAATTCATTTATCGAACTCGTTCTAAGCGATTTTCCCTGTTTAGCATTTTATTTCTTCACTGTTTTCAGGCGGAACATCAACGATCCAATCATGTGATGCTGCTAATGGGGGGTGATTTTCAATATACAAATGCTAATCGTTGGTATACAAATCTTGATAAACTCATCGAGCTGTTACGTGAAAACACGGTGCTAGCTTTTACGTTTGCTTCGAAAACTTTATATCGCTGTATCTGCCAACATTTAAAGATGTTTTTTGAAATCAGCTGACAAAATTGGAATAAGTGGACTTTTGAAATGAACTGACGGAATTTTAAATAAACTAAAAGCTCAGAATTTGTCAGTTCTAATTTTTTTACTTTTCTGTTTAAACTCTTGTTTTTGCTGCATCGTTTTTTTTTTGGTCCTGAAGATAAAAAGTACTCTTATGCTCCAAAAAAACAAATGTTCACGACTCTTGCTTCAGTTTACAACTTTTAAATTTAAATCTCTTTTCGGATTTTTTTCTCGCGCAACAACGCTTTTTCGTTTCAGACGCTCAGTGCAAAAATAAACGTTTTCTATTCGACCCCAACGTGCTATATAAGGGCCCTGGTCGAATCTCAGCCAAGGTTGCCGCAAACATCAGGCGACTTTTTCCCATATGCATCTGGAAATCATAGTTACTGGACTGGCTTCTACACGAGTAGACCAACTTTTAAAGGTTTCATACGACAAAGCAGCGCACTTCTACAGGTATAATAGAAGTTTGTCTGAAAGCAAACCTACTAGGATGCTTGGATTAGGATCAAATTTGAGCTGTTTCGGATATGCCTGCAAAAATTTAGATGGCTAAATCTTACGGTCATTTACTAATTACTTTGTGTTTTTCAGAGCAATGTATTTGAAAAATTTCTGTTAAAAATCGGATAAATTTATTGTTGTCTAGCTAAGAATACCATACCGTCCAAACAGTCAGAATAATTGTTCCATGTTAATACACAGGATGCAACTAAGCTGTGCCGCTGTCTATCATTTTTAAATAAATTTATGCACGTATTACTAAATAATATATATTTAAATAAAAAATCAAAATTTTGGGTGCAAAATTCTTTAAAAGGAAAAGTTCTTTTGGAAAAGAAATATCTTACCATTTTTCGGCTATCGTTGAATTATTTAAAGTGTTGTTAGCAGTAATTGGTAATTTGAATCTTTTAGCCTATGTTGACTGAATTTTGTTTTGCAACTTTTGTACCCAGAGACATTTCACCGGAGGAACAACTGTCATGGGAAGAAAATGCTTCGTTTTCATTGCAGCTTATCAAGATGCACCGGTCATTTGCACTGCAAACAACAAGCAACAACTTGCTACGCAGTGCGGTAACGTTATCGCAGCATCATGATGCCGTTACGTAATAACTTTTACTTATTTCTTCTACTACATGTCTAACAATGCCTTATTTCGCTAAGCAAACAAATAAATTTTATGATTAGTGAAGCGAAAGATGGGGAATTTTACTTTGATGAAGATATCAGCTTCTGAAGGGTTTTAAAATAATTTCAAATTTATGCAATATTTAACCGGTTAACTTACATATGTCTGCATGTTGCTGCGCAATTTTGTGGTAAGCCATTGAATTATTTACCAATTCTGTTCGGGCAGTCAGTGCTTGACTCCGTACAACTGATGTTAGTAGGGTACTCACACATGGATACAATAAATACAGTGTTAGTAGGTTACTCGGATCCAAACTGCCAGGCCTTCAGAACCCGGACTGTATATCTCTGGTTAGCAACCTCAGCTCCGTACCACCTATTTGAGGATCACCCAAATGATCGTTCACTTTCCAGTGAGTGGTATGAGGCATCCACCGCTGTCAGTAAGGCAAGCTACTTGTCTTGCTTATTGGATTTCAGCTTTTTACCTGGTCGCAGCAATATCCTGCATGACATTTACTACAATTATTACAGTCTAGGATTTCTTTTTTCAAACTAAAATGCAGACTTTCGTGCTTTTAGTGGGACAGCTCGAGAGAATGTAACCAGGGATTACAAGCTGCGACTTTCTCGAGGTTGGGATGAAGCCGAAGTATCATTTATATTTTATAAAAATCGCTTTTTTTGAGTAGATGCTTCATTGTTTGGAAAAAATATAAGAAATCTAAATAATACGTAGAAATTTTTTCAGAATTTTCCATGAACTATACCAAGGTTTATCTGTATGCACATAATCTACAGATAATCACTGTTCAGATGATAATCAATGAGGTGGCAGCAAAAATGTTACCAAAATCAGGCAAAGTGGTGCCGCAGAAGCAAGTTTTTTGCCGCCTAATCAATGAAACCATTTGCAATTCAACGAGGTAATCAGTTAAAAATCATTGGCGACGCGCACTGGCGGGCCCGTGCGATCATGCGTTTTTGCAATGTTTCGTGCTGCAATAAGATCACTCGAAATTCCGCTAGCT